GTAACGCTTCTGCTTCAGCGCGGCGCTTCCGTCCTGAAAAAGGACGAACAGGGATGGCAGCCGTATCATCATGCAGCACATTACGGGCACCCAGATGTTTTGCGACTCTTGCTGTCCTGCAGTCCCACGGGGTGGGTCATGGAGGGAGCAAGTGAGGACTTTACGATGGAAAGGATTGGCTTTTCACCTTCTGCGGATATCTCGGAGGAAAAGAAGAAGGCGATACAGGACTTATTGAGCGAGTCACGGCGGCGACCAGTGGCAACGACCGAGAGCATTCCGCCCGGAGTTCCTCCATTTTTGGGTGATGTGATGCTGAGCACAATGCCAACAAGGGGACAAAATCGGCCTTCGGGGCTGGCTGGAAATCAGTATGTGCCGTTCACAGGACAAGTTCCAGTCATTCAAGAGTTGCCCGGGACACTGGAACAGGGCCTGCCCCCCAGTCGATCCACTACCCCGGAGCAGATGCACCGTGATACAAGGCCCCGCCGTGGCTCTGGCACTCTCTTGCAAGCTCTACCCGAGCAGGGCTCGCCAGAACAGCACATTGCTACACCTCGCGCTCGGTATCCTCAGGCTTTGGCAGAAAGACCGCAAAATGAGGACTCGAATTATCATTTGCAGGAAGGTGTAAACTCAGCAGCGGTTGGAGGCTCAGCGCTCAGCGATTTACCTCCAGGCACCGTGTACCATCTTTTAGAGGAATGGTCCCAGCCATGCTCAACAGCATCCCCAGTGTCGATGATTAATAATCCTGTCTTGGAACCATCAGCTGCAGTGAAACTAGCCCGAGAGGTCTCATGTGAGGGCCCAGGTAGAGAATCTGACGCAGAGTCAATATCATCGGTATACACTGCGCCAGAAGGAGTTGTGTAGCTAGCGACTTGGAATGGACATGGCGGAAAGCCCCCACAGTCATGGAAACGATTGTGTAGACTTTCAGCCCATAGGGTTGAGTAAATCAGTTGCAGACTAGACCGTGAGGTGATGATGTGATCGGGGAAACCCGCAGAACGACGGCTATGGCAAATGGTAAACTACTAGTAGACGGCATCCATCTCCATCCATGATGGGATCGATGACTCCTCGATCTGTAGCACTTGACCTGGAATCAGGCCGCATTGCCCAATAGGCTTGCAGCATCCGGCATGACTCACGGGCAAGTTCCCGGGACAAAAGATGACGATGATGATGATGAGGAAGAAAAAACCAGGGAAAAAAGGTAAAGACGAGTAGTCGGGGTAGTAGAGGAATTCCAACCGATAGAGAATGACTTGATGGACCTGGAATGTCTCCAGCAGTTGTTCTCCGAGGTGTGTCACTTATTCGGAAGGTGAAGAAAACCGACCAGTCTTTTCCCCCAAGAAAAGAGAGAGAGGGGGGAAATCTCACCTCTGGAGGATCATGTGGAAAGCTCGAGAAGTAAGGCGATGGTTCAAGATTCGAGCAGAAGAAAATAAGCAGGCAGCATGAATCAAAATGTTAGTCATTGCTGCGTTGCTTTATTGCCGTGGATGCCTTGAGGCAGACATGGTTTGGCCCCGAGAGTATAAAAACGACTCATGTCTATAGCCTTCTTCTCCATGCTCTTGACTCTTTACTATTTACAATCATCTACAAAGTCGAGGCCATACGAAGCTATCCTCCTCTGTTCTTTCTTCACTTCTTCTCGTCCGCCTCTATGATCCTAATCTTTTCTTTACGCTCTTCCTATCATTGCCATCAGACCCCTTTTCTACCTCCCTAACTCGGATCTGATATAGTCTCACGATACTCTGTAGCGATAAAGGTCTTGCGTGACGATGGATTTATCGGGTAACCGGTCCAGCTGGTCCTCGACTGACGCCAAACACTCAATGGCACGAGGAGATTATAACGCCCCCTCAGTCTTCCATACTTTCCGTCCTCACATAACCGGTCCATTCGACTTCGCTGCCATGCAAGGTCGCGGCGGTTACAATGACCCGAATGATAGCGGCAAAAATAGTTGGGTTACCTGAACCATCAACAGCTTCTTCTGCACTCATATGGACGGCCATGGCAGAGAGGCATCATTGAAAGCGGCTCCGTTGGCGCACATTGTAACGGTTCACTTCCCAACGCAAAACCTAGTACACAGTTAGCAAAGAGCCAACACCTCTCCGGATGAGCAGCGAGACATACTTCTCAAACACAACCCCCAGAACGTCCTCCACGTCGCCGCTCTCGCCCTTACCGGTTATTGTCGCCAACGCATCGGCCGCAAAGCGCAGGTGTTCGGCGGCTGTCACGACATCTATTTCCATCTCAATAGGCTGTCGCGCATGTTCATGGCTTAGCATTGGCGGCGCATGGCTTCTCGAAGTTTGGGTCAGGAAATCATCCAAATATTGCAGGCATCTTTGTAGATTAGAACTTTGTCGATGTGTCACTCCTAGAGAATCTTCCCAATACGATAGATTATATTCTCCATTCGCATCACCTTCGATACCCGATGGGGATGCAATTTCTTCGAAGGTAGAGATAAGCCCGCGGATGAACTCTTGTAGATGACCCGGGTCTTTCCGCTCTGGTGCGGATTCCAGTTGCGCTTCATGACAAGAGATGCCGAAGATGCGCTTCTGCGGCACAGTAGGAAATATATCACCCACTGTGGCGAGCAACTGCTGGGGCAGAAGCTGACTATTCTGGTCATCCAAGGGCAGCCGGTCGCATTTATTAATTGCAATAACAATGCACTTGTCCGCTGCAACACAGTCATTGACCGCCTCTACTACCTCCTGCTCGATTGACAGCTGATACGGTATGTCATCGGAAGTGCCTTTCTCCAGAGACAAGACCGCAACAACAACATCGGATTCGAGAGCACGAGCTTTGGCGCGCCGAATACCTTCTTTTTCAACCGCCCCGATCACGACCGATCCTTTCCCATTGACAGGCTCGGAACGGATTCCGGCCATATCACCAAGCTTACAGTACCATCCGCTCAGGTCGACTCCGACATCCACGATATCACGGGTGGTTCCTTCTTCGGTGCTAACAATAGCAGCCTCCTTACCTACGATCCGGTTCAATAAAGAGCTCTTGCCCGCATTGGGCGCACCGAGCAACGCAATCTTGATTCCATGGCGTAATAGCTCCCCTTTGGAGGCGTTCTGAATATGGAACGCAACTTGAACCCGCAGTGCCTGCACTTGCGACGCAACCGAGAGTACCAGCTCATCGGAAGACTCGTCAAAATGCTGATCTTCGGCGAAATCGATCAGCGCTTCAAGCTCCCCGCGTGCATAGAGCAGCTGCTGCCGCCACTGCTCATATCGCCTAGACAACGCATCACTAGCACCTCTCACAGCCAGGCGACGCTGCTGTTCGGTGTCCGCAGACAACGTATCGCCAAGAGCTTCTATCTGCGGCAGGTCCAGTCGGTTGTTCATGAAGGCACGACGAGTGAATTCGCCGGGTTCGGCGTAACGAACGAGCAAGTCTGGTGAACTCACGCGGGAAATAGCTGTAAGGACGGACTTAACGATCGCTGGCCCACCGTGAAGATGTAATTCAAGAACGTCCTCCCCTGTAACTGTCTTGGGGGCTGGGAAATACAACACCAGAGCCCCTGCATCAAGGACGCTGCCGCTGGAAGGTTCACGCGTAGAGTCGAATAAAGTCCGTACAGCTGCACGGCGCGGTCGGGGAAGCGGCGCTTTTGGACATAACGCTCGATATATCTAAGGGTGAAAGACAACATCAGCAACCTAGCAGCCCAACAGGTTGTAGACAAGTTCAGCTTACCTGCACACATCCTGGGCCTGATACACGCACAACCGCAATGGCAGCTCGACCAGACGCAGTCGAAAGGGCGTAGATGGTAGAGTCTCCATCTATACGTGACTGTGTCGGTCTCGAAGCGGAAAACGATCGGCTTTGCGGTACCGCCGGACGTGGAAACAAGACATAGCGCGAGGGATGGACAATATCCCGAAGGAAAGCGCAGCTATGCCTGCTCCATGACGGGCGAAAGGGAATCACCCGGCGCAGGTTTCGAAGATAAGACGCTCGCATGCGCAAAACGGCACTTGCGGCAAAGTCAAACAATAAGTATGATAGTAGAAAGGAAGGATTCTCCAAGCAGTTGATTTATCGCATCTGGTCACGTGGGCATATGGGTGATCCATACCATGTATGTTGGATGTCTTTTTCCTAGGGCATGGTCACCTCCTTGTTTTCTTGTAAAATATATTAAAGGATATATATCTATGTTTCCCTATATATTACTTTTGTTCGGGGGTATTATGTCCCTACGGTCCTTAGAGTGAAGTTGTCATGTATGGTTTCTGTCGTTGGTGACTTCACATCGTAAGATACAGTGCAACCAACCACATGCGTGTCTGATGCATAAACATCACTGACTCCATAAGATGAATGTTTGAAGGTAAATCAATGATAGCTGCGTCACCTCGTCACGCCTGCGCGTCGAAAGACGCGGCCATACGCCATGAAAAAAAAGCCGCTCGATTACCCACCACAACCGACATGCAATAAACAATTGCTAACCATGCACATCAAAGCAGATATCACGCGTACAACCCAGAAGGAAATATGACGTTACGTATGTACAAAGAGGGAAATCGAGACATTAGCTGAAAGCCATTCCGATGGGAGCTGAAAACAAAGGAGTCGCTCGCTGTAGAAGCAAGGAAGTGGGTAAAACAATGTACTCTTGAAGACATTGTTCGAAAATCCAGTAACAAGAGAAAGGGACTAAAGGAAGAATAGTGAAAGGATGGCCCCATCACGCTAGCTGAGTGCCTTCAAAACTGACAACTCAGATGCAATAGGAAGAAGACAGAAGAAGGAAAAGAGAAAGAAAGAGCAGCAAAATATTATACACTCAGTAAGGCAAAATGTTCCAAGGCGATGTCCCCTAGTCTATCAGGTATTATATTAGGGGGAAAAGAAAAAGAAAAGAAAAGAAACGAGAGAGAAGGGATGATGAAAAGCCGGATAAGCGAAAGAAAACATCAATTTGATGGTTCGGAAAATCTGCCAGGAGAGTCGGCATCGGGTTCATTATCACTTGAGCGGTGGTGTTGTTCTGTTGTTGGAGACACGACGATGACTGGAGTAACCGGTCGTTGCGAAGCGGCATCTTCTGGACTAGTCGCGATAGGCTCTTCTAAACCTTTCGAGTCAATCCTTGACGGTGTCATGGGCTCCGGTACTGGGGACAGAGCAGAGCCGTCCGCACTGTCTTTACTCCCACCCGTTGGCCCATTCCGTCTCCGTAATCTGCGTTTTCGACGTTCTTCTTCAGCGCTTTCCCTTCGTCTTCTGGACCGCTCCCCATCGGTATTATCTCTTAGACCTTGTAACATGCTTGCAGCACGATCTGCAACATCTTCACTCTCTGAGATCTGTGTCGAATCTTTGCTTGTGATCCCAGAGTCCGAGCCTAGGCTAAGAGGGCTCAGAAGCCCTGTCTCTGTAACATTTGGTTCATCGTTACTGGCAACATTGTCATTGACTTCGTTCCCATCATTGGTTCCACCACCTTCCGTGTCTTCAGCTCCAGGTAGGTCTGGCATCCTTTGGCCCGAAGCCACGCGAATCTGATGTCGTTCCTTCAATCTAGCACGACGTCGACGGTCACGCTGATCCCTAGCCTGAGGAGCTGCAGCTCGTAACTTCTCCAAGAGAGAATCCATGGCCCCGCTTGAGGCAGGCAGTTGTGACGTTTCACCTGAGCCAGCACTGTTTGCAAGAGCAGCATTATTACGTTTGCGAGCAAGTGATGCTTCTGTACGCTTTCTAGCCTCCTCCAACGAGATATTCTTTTCCTTAGATTTCTGTAGATCGAAGTCTTATTAGCCAAAATCCCCAGAGCATGCACGGGGCTCTAGATTAGCTCCAAACTTAACTTACCTTCCATTCAAGCAAGAAAGCAGCCAACTTGGCAAAGAAGTCTCGTCGAGCGCCCTCATCTGTGTTGTCCTCACCGTAGAAGACCATAATGTCATCGTACGACTTAATCATCTCTTCAAGATAGAGCTGCATTTGCTCGGCCTTGCGCCTAGCCTCCTTCATACTCCTTTGAACGACTTGGCTGACGCGGTCTTGCGGGTGAAATTTCTTAGGATCGCTTAGATTACCAGCGTCTAGGCTCGCCTGTACATTCTTAATATTGTCAATGTACTTCTTAGCATCTGTCCGCAACTGATCGACATTAAGTTTCTGAAGGGCGACAACACCGTTGATGTCATCAACGAAACCTTCCCATTCTGGGTATTGATTGCGCACAATCCGCTCGACAAGATCTGCAAAGGTGGTTTCGTTCTTGTCATCCTTCACCATACCTAATCGAGCGAGAGAGCTCAGCTTGAAACCTTGAGCTTGCTTATTAGCATCGTTCATGAAATTTCCGATATCTAAGATCAGGCCAAGGACATTCATCAGAGCTACAGAATCCCTCAGCGATTCGCTCACTTTCACAACCTGCTGAAGCTTGGCGGATATATGCTCGTAGTCGGGCTCAAAGGAGCGAGTTAATGCAAGGGCACGCATTCTCGCTTTCCAATAATGGTTCAGCTCGAAAGCGGTATATAGATAAATTTGATCTTCACGCGTAAGCTCAGCCGGGTCTTGCTCCCGCTCAGAGCTAGCAGCATTTGGACCTGTCCAATCCCTGCTGTAAGGTGCCATCTGCTTGGATATATTTTCAGGTATCGTGCACAGTTCATCCCGTTGGAGGAAGTCCATGACAACCTGGTTGTCAAGGATATCCGCGTCACAGTGAATAACCATCCGCACGACGTCATCTGCAGGGTATTGGGAGAATTTTGCCATGGCAATCTGCAGATTCTTAGACAATTCGTTAGAGATAAGCTGCTTCTTATCTTTACGCTGCTTGGCTGCCGCATTGCCTCCAAAGATCTTGGTCTCCTTCGCCATGAATAACCTCTCAACTTCATCCAATACACCCTTTTTGGCAAGTTCGGTATACTTTTCCTCCTTCGCTTGAGGGGTTACTGCATGAGATGCCCATACAGTCACCTGAGGAGCATCAACCTTTTCCCAATGGAGTGCTTTGAGCTTCTTCTTAGGCCTAATTGATGGCAAAAAGGCTGTTGGTTTGGAGGGAACGGACTGGGAAGCCATATAATTTGCTCTCCAGCCTCCAAATGAGGCACCGGGAGGTGGTGGCGGCGGAGGGGCGCCAAATGATGCGCCGGGGGGCGGGGGTGGAG